CCCCCCCCCCCAACTTTATTTTTATTTTATGTGCATGGATATTTTGTCTGCACGTACGTCTGTGCACCACTTATGTGCCCGTGGAGTCCAGAAGCCAGCATGGGATCTCTTGGAGCTGAAGTTACAGATGGTTGTTGTCCACCACATTCAAATACGAATGAAAGGAAATGCTTTTTACTTTTTTAAAATCTAATTTTTACCCTTTTTTTGGTTGTGGGGGGGGAGGGAGGAGGGCAGAGGCTCATTATATAGTCTAGGTTGGCCTGGAACTTGCTATGTAGACCAGGTTGGCCTTGAACTCAGAGATCTGCTGGCCTCTGCCTCCTGAGTGCTGTGATTAAGGATGTGTGCCACCACACTCAATACTTTTTACTCTTTGATGGGAGCTTACAGCAGCCAGCCCTGGTACTCCATGCCTGTCATGGCAGTACTCAGGAGGATGAGACAAGGAAGATCCCAAGGTTGAGGTCAGGCTGGGTACACAGTAAGCTCAAAGCCAATGCTACTTCGTGAGACTCGGTCTGGCGGTGTAGCTCTGAGGCAGAGCGCTTGCTGGGCATATTCCCTGAATTCAGTTCCCAGCACTTGAGGAGGTGGTGGCTTTTTTAGGGGAAGGGGTATAGTATACTATAAGCAAAGACATACCATTGTGACCGACTTGAGCAAAGGACAGTCTGCTACAGAGCGAGGAGGGGACCTTAGAGTTAGCTGTTACAGTTCCCTCTACCCATGAAGCCACAGGCTGAAAAAGAGATCTGCAGCATGGCCCCAGATGAGTTCATAGTCAGACTGAGGGCTGCAGATTAGAGACCTCCTTTGTCAGTCTCCCCACCTGTTTCAGATGGGTCTCACTGTGTCGTCTAGGCTGGCCTTGAGCTTGTAGCAATCCCCCTGTCTCAGTAACAATCTTCTTCTTCTCCTCCTCCCTCTTCGATAGAGTTTCTCTGTGCATCCCTGTCTGTCCTGGAACTAGCTAGCTTTGAAGAACAGGCTGGCCTCGAACTCACAGAGATCCACTTGCCTCTACCTCCCGAGTGCTGGAGTTTACCTTCTTGAGTCTCCTCTCCTCCGCTGTCCCTTCCTAATCCTTCAGCTCACAGCCTGAAGACACTGTGTGTTCCTCCTCTTGGAGTTCTCTCTAAGGCACAGCTGTGGCAGCGTCTTGGCATGTAGTAGGCGCAGGCAAGGTGTTTCCTCATCTCTTTGTGTATGTCATGGTGGAACCACACTTCTGCTGTTCTGTGTATGGACTGCTCAGTACAGCTCAGCTTTTCACTGTGTCCTCTTCTCAGGTGCTCAGAATTTTGATGTCATACGACTATCAACTTACAGAACAGCTTGCAAGTTACGGTTCGTACAGAAGCGATGCAACCGTAAGTCATTTCTTATTTCTCTGATGGGCAGACAGGGTTCCTGGTATTATGAAATAATTTTAATACCTTTCAGGCATACTGTAAAGTTAGTTGAATTCTGTTTGTCTCTTTGTAAATAATTTATCTTTATTATTTTTAAATCATGTGTATAAGTGTATATCTACATGTGGGTTCATGTACATAAATGTGGATGCTCCCAGAGGCCAGGTGTAGGCAGGGTGTTTCTGTTCGGCCAGTCAGCTCTGTCCCACCAGCTGGCTCCCAAATAACCACACAAAGACTTACTATTAATTATAAATGATTGGTTGATAGCTCAGGCTTATTACTGATTAGCTCTTACAATTTAAATTAGCTCATATTTCTTTTTCTTTTTTTTTTTTTAAGGTTTATTTATTTATTATGAATACAGTGTTCTGCCTGCATGTCAGAAGAGGGCACCAGATCTCATTACAGATGGTTGTGAGCCACTATGTGGTTGCTGGGAATTGAACTCAGGACCTCTGGAAGAGTAGGCAGTGCTCTTAACCTCTGATCCATCTCTCCAGCCCTAGCCCATATTTCTTATCATTTCTTAACATGCTCTACCATGTGGCGGTACCTTTTTTCGGTATGGCATATTCATCTCCTGCTTCCTCTGAATCTGGCTGGCAACTCTAGTCCTCTTCTTCCCAGCATTCTCCCTGTCTGGCTCTCCCACCTAACCTCTACCTGCCAACTGTTGGCCATTAACCTTTTATTAAACCAATCAGAAGGCGCCTTGGCAAAGGCACATCTTCACAGTGTAGAAATGACTGTCCCACAGCAGCCAGAGGCATAGGATCCCTTGGAGCTGGGGTTACAGACAGTTGTGAGCCACTTGACATGGGTGCCGGGATCTGAACCTGGGTCCTGTGGAGGAGCAGTAAGTGCTCTTAACCACTGAGCCATCTCTCCAGCCCCAATTCATTCTGTTTGTCTTAAACATTTATCAGAATATAAGCTTTGTAAATGGAATGCATTTGATGATATATTCCTGTTTCCCTTAAAATGCTTAACAAAATTGATGTTATAAGTAATGTTGCTAGAATGTATTTTTTTATTACATTTTTATTTGCTGTGTGTGTGTGTGTGTGTGTGTGTGTGTGTGTGTGTGTGTGTGTGTGTGTGTGTGTGTGTGTGTGTGTGTGTGTGTATTTGCATATGCCACAGTTGGCATGTGGAGGTCATCAGAGAACAACTTTTAGGAATCATTTCTTTCTTTCCTCTCTGTGGGTTCCAGATACTAAACTCAGGTCCTCAAGGGTTGCAATGTGCCTTGACTACTGAGCTGTGGAGCCTGCTCCAGCCTTGACTACTGAGCTGTGCAGCCTGCTCCAGCCTGCTCCAGCCTTGACTCACTGAGCTGTGGTTGTGTGCATGTGTATGCACATGCATGTCTGTGTCCATGTATTCCTAAATAAAATACAGTTTGCCAAGTCTATATAGTATTTCTTATGTTTATATGTTTCAGAGCTGACTACTTGGTATCAGGTAACCAATTTGGGGGCCTCTTCCCTAGGGGAGACTGTTTCTCCTGTCTCGCTATTCCTTAGTTGTCTGTAGTTCTCTGTCCAAGGTTGAGGCCCCATAAGATTTCTAACACATTGGCATGTCTGTTGGTGTTGTCCTTGTTCAGGTCTTGTTTAGGCAGCCATGTTGTCGAAGCTTCATGGTGTAGCTTTCCTGTCATGGCTAGAAGACACTCTCACAGCAGACTTCCTGGTCCCCTGACTCTGGGGATCTTTCCACCCCTCTTTGGTGCTGTTCTCTGAGCCTTAGATAGAGGAGTTGTGTTGTTCATGTAACAGTTGTGCATGAACACTGTTACATGAACAACACAACACACCATTGCTTCCTTGTACTCTGCAGATTCATTGGTTGTGGTTTTCTGTAACAGTCTTAGTCTGGCTAGACCCTGGTGTGAACTGTGCAGGACCTGGCCAGGCGGGCGTACATACCTGGTTGTCATGTACCTGGCCTTTTACATGGGTGCTTGGGATTTGGACTCGGGTCCTCGTGGTTGCATAGTCAATGCTTAGACCCACTGATCATCCACCACTTCTGGCCCCTTGGCCATAGAGAGTGAAATTTGAGATGCAAAATGTTACTGAAGTTGCCAGACTAATATTACAAAATAAAGGTCATTCAGGATGATGTAGCAAATCGCTAAACAAGCTGAAAATTGGGCTGGCTCAGTGGTTAAAGGCACTTTTTTGTCACCAAGCTTGATGGGTGCCATGAGTTGAATCCCCAGAGTCCACAGGGTGAAAGAAGAGAATCAACTCTTAAATATTGCCCTTTGACCTCTATACGTGTGCCATAGCATGCACATATCCACCCACATACATACCAATAGCCCTACACTTAAATCAATGTAGCAAATATTTGTTTTAAAAGAGGAAAGTTTTTAGGAATAATTCTTGATATATTTTTCCTTTCATATCATCAACTGATAGAGGTCACATAGATCACTATTTACAAAGACCTGAAACACCAGTTATTTGAAGGAAGTCTCAGGTGGTCAGCCCTGTTCTGGGGCAGCTCCTTGATATCCATAATGAACATTCTATATCCTGTCGTGGAATGGGTTCCTCTGTTGTCTAAGGAGTTTCTGTCTTGTCTTTTTCCTTTTTTTTTTTTTAACCTTCAAGTTAACATTTCTCTATGTAGCCCTGACTTACCTGGCACTTGCTCTGTAGACCAGGCTGGCCTCAAACTCAGAGATCCGCCTGCCTCTGCCTCCCAAGTGCTGGGATTAAAGATGCGCGCCACCACTCACTCCCAGCTGAGTCTCTCTTTATTTTAAGCTTAAAAAATGAGTTGCTCAGTTTACGCCGGGCGGCGGTGGCGGCGCACGCCTTTAATCCCAGCACTCGGGAGGCAGAGCCAGGCGGATCTCTGTGAGTTCGAGGCCAGCCTGGGCTACCAAGTGAGTCCCAGGAAAGGC